AGCCTCTGAGATGCCCAGGAAAGAGTGAAGAAAACTGGCCAACTCTAGCACAAATCAGATGTTGGTACTGAACTATAACCAGTTCTCTTGACTGAAGGTTGGACAGCACATAGTGACAGTGAGGAGAGAAAAAGAAAGGCATATTTCAAAGACAACCTCTACTGTCAGAAATCCAAAAGCTTCCTTCAGAGATGGGGGGATGTGGGAGAGCAGAGGTGGGTCGATGATGTATGAAGGAAAAAGGCTTTGGCAGGGGCTTAATTTCTATTCTCACGCAAGCCTGTGAACTCTGAATTATGGGGGGTTTGCCTTTCAAGGTGACTTTTTATAAATTATACACAGGATTCTCCCTCTCTGACTGAAGCATAAAAATATAGAGCCCCAATCAGATTTCTGTTCATTGGAGGATATCGGGCTGCTTTGCCCCTCCAGGTGCAATAGTACCAACATAACTAAACCATTCTTCCCAATCTGTTACCAACAAAAGGATTATTTACAGTTCAAGCACTTGGTTTTAACTTGTCTAGAACAATTTCCCTTCCATGTTCCATAAAGGTGAGAATAGAAGATACATAAGGCACAGGAAAGTGTGATGAAAAGCTCTCCAGAATGGGCTTTGCCACACTGAATGTTGCCCTCCGGTCTGGTTTCTGGCAAGTTGTAATAATGTAACCTGACTCTCAACTATCCTGACCTGTGGCTATTGTCACATACTTTCCAAAATCATCCACAAGATGCTGAATGAACTCGTCATAACTTATTTCTGTTATGCAACCATGTGGGGAATACAACTCTGTATCATGGACCGACGGCCCAGAATAACTCCGTGCAGAAATGACTCAGTATCCAGGGAAAACTTTCAAGCTTGAAAAGCATGACATTTTCCTGGAAAGCAACTGTTAAACTCTGACTAATGCATTCCCCTCTTTTTCTCTCCTTTTTTCTAAAGTCTATCCATACAGGTTTGGAAGCTCGGAATGCCCCTGGGCACTGAAGACAATGTGAGGTGAAGACTGTTTAAAAATGAGAACTCAGGCTGGACAATGCTGTGTATGTGATATTTGGGGAACATTATGGGGAAATGAAGCAATCCAAGGGCCTAGAGCCAGACATTTCCTTTTTGCCCAGGCAGTCCATATTGACAGGGCACTTATTAGGTGTCCTGGAAAGACTGAAACTTGGCCACTAAGTGATCTCCTTGGGCAAGCACAGTTCTTAGGCACGTTGGATGAGCCATACTGCTGACCCACTTTAAGTCCCAAGTGCTTCTGGCCCAAATTAGGAATAGCAGCTCTAGGGACTTCAGAAATTATGTCCCTGTCTAACAAAAAGCAAAGCTTCCCTCTCTTCTCCCTCCATTCCAGCTGGAAAGCTTCTTGTCACCATATCCAGAAATGTACTTGTAGTGAAGTAAAACTAAGTGAAAGTGAACACTAAATGTAACTATAAAGATGTTGCTTTAGCAAAGGAAGTGTAAAACAGACAGTGCTTCTCCACCATCTTAGCTATTGTGGTTGACTACCCAAAAGAGTGCAAATATGTATCTCCATCCAGAACTTACCTCAAATTTACTCCTAGGAAGGTAAACATCAGTGAATGGGACAGAGAAAGCTTAAATTTGTGAAAACATTCTGATCTCTACTCCTTTTGCTTTGTTTCAGGCTACTTCACACTATTCCAGTCTCCCATGTGAAACAGTCCCCACACTCGAGGTGCACACTGTAGGAATATTGCAGAATTTACACAGGAAACTTTGGTGTAAAGCTTAACATAAAAGAGTATCACCTGAGCACGCTGCAGGATCACAGATCTTGTAATAAGGAGGTCAGTAGACTGAGAACTGAGGTACTCTACTCCAGTCTGCCATGGAGGGAACCTTGGACTAACTCTTTTCCCTCTCTTTATCTCAGTGTCTGTGTTCCTGAGACAGTTAAACAGGACTGTCATCACAGGGAGGCAGCAAGAATTACTGAGAACTTATAGTGTGCCTTGAAACATTCCAAAAACCACCACTACTCTAGTCCTGATTACCAATACCTATCACGAGAAAATTACCATATATTATTACACAAAGCCATAGAGCTGCTAAAGACAATGTGTATTGTAAGAGATGAGCAGGAATTTTAACTCTCTGAGCTAGCAAGGGAAACTCTTTTCTCACTGACAAAGCCTCCAGCTATGGATGGATGCAGTGCTTTGTTTTCTCCAGAGCAATGGTGACATTTTAGATCATCTTTTGTGCTATAAATGGAACACTGTGATATGCTGAACACTTGTTACCTGGAAGACCATTTCCTGGTGCCTGAGTCATCAACTTCCTTGGATGACATTGCCACATCTGTAAGGAAAAGATGTGCTGCTAATTTACGAGGCCACTGTAGTGCTGATATCTTAAACCACTCAGGTGTGAATAGAAAGGCTGGCTGGTATTTGAAATCTCTTCAGCAATATTAGCTCACTGTGGATGATATTTGAAATATCTCTAAACTGGAGACACGCGGATTTGGCAGATGGAACACTCAGTGGATAGGGAATTGCACTCAAAGAGTTGTGGTCAACAGCTCAACATCCACATGGAAAGAGGCAACAGTTCTCAAGGGTAGGAACTGGAATTGTCACTGTTAAACATCTGCATCAAAAGCACTGTGACCCCACTACCACTTCAGTGTCCAGCAGTAAAACACACAAATTCCAGTATAATGATTTTACAACTATTGCTATTAAATTATTAAAATCTAAACAAGAGAATTCTAAGGCTGTCAAAACACTCAAGAAGAGGTTTTTTTCAAGTTCAAATCTGTTACTGCATGTCATCCATGTAGGCTGGCAATCAAGAAACATGAGAACAAGAAATCAAGAAGTCTCTAGGGTAAAACCTCTTTACTCCAGCGCTCACCCCTTTGGCTGGGAGGAAGAACCGTTCTCCCCCCTAACTAATCCCAATTGTCTTCTTTCAAAATATAGAATGTAAATTAGTTTGGCTGCAGATAATGATGTTTCTGTTATTAGTAACACCCTGAATAGCTTCAAACCCTGGCTGGGAATTTAACTCCTGGGGACTTGGCTTAGCAGGATCTCCTTTTAATAGACCCTGCTCAGTCCAGGAGATAAAATGGCTTCAGAGTCCTCTCCAGGGACACTGATAGGCCTGCATGCTTCATCACAGGCTATTACACACTCAAATTCGCTGAGGTGAAAATCTGTGGGCAATATATATAACTTCAAAACATCCATGAAGCTCTTCAATCTGCCTGTAATTATTCACCTGCAATTCTGAATGCATTTGCTGACAGAAAATAAGAATTTGGTATGAAATCCTTTTCTTCTGTGTTGTTTCTATGGCTGTCCAGAGAGGCTGAAACAGCAGCTTTCAATTTAATTTTTAAGACACAATTTTATGGTGTACATTAACTGACTGGCTTGAATTGCACTGGAAGTGGCCTCCTGAGTCAGACCGGAGCATCACCTGGCTTGGTGAAGATCCTTTTATGCTTCACCAAAATGGTTTTATTTATAATGGCCAAGGCTTTTAACAGTCTGTGTTAGGGTTACTAGAAGGAATAAACTACAGGTCCTTCGCTCAGGTACCTGATTACCATGGGTTTATGTGTTTTCTAAGCACTGGAGGCCCTTGGCACTGTTACAATGGAGAGAAAAGGCATTTCCATAGGGGATGGAGCCTCCCTGGAGCTTTTTATCTTTCTGCACTGGCCATACCAGCAAAGAGACTCCTTCCCCATCAGGGAAGCTGTTAAAGTCACATGGGATAAATCTGGGCATTGGTTTTCCAAAGTGGCTGAGATCCACAGGCAGATGACATTGAAGGGGACATACAGGCTTGAATAGAACTTACAGCATGTTTTCACTTATTTTTTCAGTAATAATGGGGTCTTCAGAGGAATTGAAATTTCATTTAAATATGGAATTTGATGAAAGTGATTTTTTTTAAGTATAAACATTTGAATAAGTTTTAAATATTTTCAAAATATTTCATTTTTTGGGGGAAATTTATGTTATACATCCTTGCATTTAATATCCACTGAATAGCCTAGACATTTCTAAATAGAAGGTGCAACATTACATTTAATTTCTTTCCTCTCAAAAAATCTGCTTTGTGAAATAAATTAAAAAAAACACTAAAACCTCTCTGTGCTCATCCTACCTTTGGAACACAAAGTTCTCCAGCTGTGGAATTTCCTAAAAGCCAAACAAGGAAGTGCTGCCAAAATCTTCACTGCCTCTTTTGAAAACATACAGTTCATGCAGTTCTATATATTTCCATCAATTTGATCAGATAATACTGTGATCTAATTAATTCTAGTACTAATATATGTGCCCTCAATAGAGAATTGGCTGAAGACTGAGGCTTCTTTTAGTTAATATAAAGACAAACCCGTTTATTATAATGTTCCTTGGGGTAATAAATCCACAGTGACCTTAACCATGATTTTTTCTGTCAGTTCAAAAACATAATCTTCATTCTTGGTTAGCCAGGTGATTTAGATTTAGTGTGTTCTTCAACTGCCCAGCAACAGATTATTTCATTTATGCCTTCCATTTATTCTTCCAACATAGCTGGTCCTGCTAATAAAGAACCAGGTTCACAGCTATTATCCCTGGTTAAACCTTCATAATTGTCTACATCTTAAACTAGGGATGTTATGCTGAATTGTATTTAATACAGTAGCTTCACTATGTGCATCAAACAAACACACAGAAACAATGACCTTGGATGACACACAAGTCATTTTAGATTCTAGTTCTCTAAAAATATCTCATTTACAAGCACTAGGCAGGTGCAGACAATGGTCCTTGTCCTTCTGTGTTACTGTTGGTTTCCACAATACAATTGATGATATTAAAAACAAAAATGTACTCCCTCACAATAGGAAGAAAACTATAAACGTCAGAGGTTGCCTTCAGAGGCTGTTCGTACACAGACAGTGGTACCTTGTTTTGTCCTTCATTACTCACCTAAATTATGTCCTGGTTTACTTGACCAATGTTCAGTGCTGAAATCTGTGTTCTTACAAAGGACGCTTTTTTAGGCCTTGTTTTCACAGGTAGTTTGGAGAAACTGAAGCCTAACAAAAGAGAAGACAAGTGGGATAGTAGGCTCAGTTCAAGACTAGAGAGATCCAAGTCTTTTATTCCTGCACCATTGACACAGATACACTGAACAGCAATTTCAGAGACTCACAAAATCACAGGATGATTGAGGTTGGAAGGAACCTCTGAAGGCCATCTTGTCCAACCCTCCTGCTCATGCAGGGTCACCTCAAGCAGGCTGCCCAGGACTGTGTCCAGATAAGTTTTGGATGTCTCCAAGGATGGAGACTCCACCACCTCCCCGGGTGACCTGTGCCAGTCACCGTCACAGTGTTAAAGTGTTTCCTGATGCTCAGAGAGAACCTCCTGTGTTTCAAGTTTGTGCCTCTTGTCCTGTCACTGAACACCAATGAAAAGAGTGTCACTGCTCTTTCTTTACATCCTCCCTTCAGATATCTGTACATGATAAGATCACTCTGAGCCTGCTCCTCTCAAGGCTGGGCAGTCTCAGCTCTCTCAGCCTTTACCCACGGGAGCTGCTCCAGTCCCTCAGTCACCTCAGAGGTCCTTTGCTGGACTCTCCAGTAGCTCTGTACCTCCCAAGGCTGAAATAATTATTTCTCTTTTTTTTTCCCCTCAGGCAATCAGAGAACACAAGCAGAACAGGAGACTATATCAAGAGCAGAAGTAAAAATATCAAAAAATAGACAAAGACAAACACACCAAGTTGAAGCAAAGTGTTCTGGTGAGATCGTCATCTTTTGTTCCACCTCATCAAGAAACTGAAGAGCACACAAAACATTTTGCTTTAACAATGTCCTCCAGTGCCTGCTATGGAGTGACTATTGGAAGGTGACATTTTCCCTTTCTTGTGACTGGTTATGTGCCCTGGGAAATGTAAAAATATCACCAAGGTATGCATAAGAGAGGAGTTAATTAGTTTAACTTCCTGATGGGAATATATTAACAGTGTAATAAGATGTTCAAATACTCTTTTTATGATTGTCCCTGCCAAAACAGTTGTTGGAAAGCTTTTTTGTAGTACAAGAAGTTTTATCCTCCATATGGAGATCCAGATGCTGACTATGATCTTTGTGTGGCAGAGGTCACTGCAAACACTCAGCCTCCAGATCTCAGCAAGCTGCACCTCTGAGACTGTTACTGAAAGGATCCTGTGTCAGGATCAATATCTATAGACAACTTTCTCCTAAATTCCTCTACTAATCATTTCCCTGTGTCAATACACAATGCTTTGAGGGGAAGCAAATTTATTTCTTTTTTCATTTCCATCCGATATTTTCATATTTCAAAATCTTTTGTAACCAAGTTCAAATGCAATTTGTCCTGTACAGTCATTGCCCCAAGTGGACAACATAATTAATCATCTATTCTTATATACTTGTGACTTAAAATGACTTTTAGCTAAACACTCTTACCCTAACTCTCCCCTTGACTAAGCCTGAACCACATAAGCATGAATTTTATTACTGCCTTTCTCCTTCTGTCAGCTAGAAAGTCACTTTGCAATTTAATCTAATGAAAAAAAAATATAGTATGTTGATTTCCCCACTACTCTAAAATACATCTATTTTTCATTTGAAATAATTTTAATAGATTTTTAGATAGCTGCAATGACCAGAATAATATTTTCTTATGAATTGCATTCTAAAATTACACATAAATCTTTTCTCCCTTGCATACTGAATATGAGTGACGTGGGATTATATTCCTTATAATAAAACCTTAAATCAACTTCCAGCTTCTTTATAACTGTCTAGACAAGAAAAATATTCTCTAAAAGCCCCACTAACCTTAGGATCATCATTTAAGAGGACACTGTCTCCTAAGCTATTTATACTTTTATCTGTATCTGATAAAAATCTGTGGGTAGGACACACAGTCCAGTTTCTATTTCCCTGCTTTATAAAGGCAAACAATCACATTTAGCTGATTCTTTCTCTCCAAAAAAGGCATTATAAAAGCAATAAAGAAACTAATATTTAAGCAACATAGGCAGCAGTGTGGTAATTTATATAATATCAGATTTACAAAAAAGAAGGACTGTAAAACCTTGTTTTCTTCAGGTTGCAAAGGAATGATGGCAAATTCTCAATTATTTTAGGAGATTAAGCAGCCCTTTTCAATGCCAGAGTTTTTGCACATTTCTGTAACATTATCTTGGGCGATTCAGCCACCTCATAAGTAATTGCTTGCATCAAACAATTATAAAAACTTTGGAAGATATCAAGACAAATGCCTGGGAGAATAAAAAACCTCAAAATTGAAAATGAAATAAAATTTAATAAAAAGTTTTCTGTCACTGCACATCCCCAAGTCCCCATATTATTTTGCTGATTCATTTATAAGATTATATATATCAAACAGCCACCTTTTTGAAAGGCCTTTCTAGTGCGAAATAAATTAACTTGACACGTAAATTCTTCCCATTTTGCAGCTTTTCTAAAAGGCTAAATCTTGTTGCCAAAAACAAACCAAACCAAACCAAAAAAAAACAAACAAAGAAAACAAACATTGAAAGAGATAAAAGAAAATAAAATAAACAGAACAACAAAAGTGCCCTGTGTGGTGAAGAGAGTTTCCCTGCTTTCCAACACCCACTGGCCACAGGAGACGTGCCCAGGAACCAGGATCTTCAAGCAGACCCACATCTCATTTTAGGAAAAGATTTTTTCACAGGAAGCAGGTCCATTCCAGAGGCCACCACACGGAGTCACAGGCACTTCGTACAAGCCTGGCACTACTTTTTTAGCATAAACTGTAACAATGTTGTCGTGGGCTCCTTTGAAGAGTCTTTCCCTTAACTGTAAGATGAATTTCTGGTCATCTGATCACTGTTTGGCTGCACTAGAAAACCAGCCCTGGTGCTATAACTGCAGAGAAAAGCTTGAAGAACTGTCTGTGTTTTCTATTCTGCAGTTACATCACCTGCACAGCTGCTTGTGCTAAGAAGGTTGTCAGGTCCTGCCATATCAGCTCATTTCCCTGCTGATTCAAGAATGGGTTACAGTTTAAATACCACGGCCATGCCCTGGATAATCACCTTCTAGCATAAAAATAGCTCGATTTGAAATAATTAAAGAACTCCTACATGTTATTTATTGGGAAAGAAGAAGTAAAGTTCCTTAAGTTCTTCAAGAACTTAAATTCTTTACTATTTATCTGAGATTACTTTGTTTTGATTACTTTAACTTGCCAGAATGACACTCCTACTAATCCCAGACTGCCTGGTAATAACTAGGTAAGCTGTCAAATTACATATTGATATCTCCTATCATTGTGGTTCCAATCTATGCTCTGTTTTATCTATGCTCTGTTTCTTCCTAAGCAGTATTTTATTCTGACACATTGATGTAGTTAATATCTTTTCAAATCAATTCAAGTCTTGTTCAGGTTGATAAACATATTAATTTATAAAACTGATGCACTTTAATATGAATTCTTTGTCCTTTCTTACTGGTCATTAGCCAATTACATGTTATCACTGTTTTTTCATTCTGAAAAAAAATAAATGATAAACAATAGCTGTTGTGACAGCCAACTTAACCATCTAGCACCATCTTGAGGTTAAACTGCTCTTGACAGTCTAAAATAATTGGACATTCCTTGATCAGCAGCTCACCAGAATTCTAGAGCGATGCAGGTACCTCATTTTTAGTTATAAAAGTAAAAAATCACGAGTTACATGACAGACATCCTATAGATTTGTTTTCTTTGCTTCTTTGCATAGACTTGAGGACAATTCTGTTAATTCTGCTGGGAATTAAGCTTAAACTTGTATTCCAAAGGAAGAGTGGGACAATGCACATGTTTATTTTGTAACTGCTCTGGACACTGTACTCAGGAGTGAGCTAAGGGAAGTTCTAAGTTTACATAAAAAAATTTCCACAATTACTTTCCATTTTCACTGCAATTAATTCTAAAGTTTACTTCTGGAGAAAAACACACATTTACAAAGAATGCCTTATTCTAAAGGTTACTGGGCCACCCAGACACAACCATCTTTAAAACTAATGCATTTCTAACAGAAAATATCTGGGTATGTCTGGATATGATATTTTGTTGAAACATAATGAAAATGTCAAATAAAGCTATTGAGTCCAAGGCTTTTCACTGCTTACCCTATGTCTGGAGCTAATCATAACACCAGAACACATTTGAAATGATGAGTGTGGTACAATTATGGCTTGAATGGAAAAAGGGATGAAGGTTGGGATCTTTTCAAGGAAGCCAGGTGACAAATGAGGAAACTGTGCTGACTTTCTCCAGCTGGATTTGCCAACTTTGACACTTTCAAAAAGAAAAAAAAATAAATAAAAAAACTATATATATATATAAGCCATTTGCATGTATGGTAAGGAGAGACTGAGACATACATTGGCTGATTATTTGAAACAAATCTGATCAGGAGTTCTGTGCTGCTGGGCTGAACTCCTGATGGAACTCATGGGTCTGTTGCAAGAATCCAAGCCCCAGTTTTATGAGCATCTCACATGGCAATATTCACTCAAACAGTCTTTGCTGTGTCCCCAGTGTTGTGTTATCAAGTTTAAAGACTTAGTATTAGGAAACTCTAAAAATATATGATTTCCATAACACCAGGTATCAGCACTTTGTGCACATTGTTGTTTTTGCCTCAAAGCCTGCCTGCAAATGCAGAGTGGAGGAAAAAGTAATGGATTTAAAATTCACCTGCCCTTCTTGAAGTGTCCATATGATGTGCAGTTCTATAAGGAGGTGACATTTCACTGTACATGGAAGTATCTAATCACATGTGACTCTATCTGTGTACACTTAACACAACACATCAAACTTCTAGCATTAATTGCTGTACTTTCATTTTCTACCTGACAGCCCTGTGAAAGTGCCTTTCATCTTGCAGTGACATACACTTAGAACTGGAGGGTTGATCTTGCTAAAACACTGACTTACAGTGGTTTGGCTCACAGGTTTCAGTACACTTTAACATGAATTGTATCTGGACTTTTTCCACAACAAAGACAATTGCCTGGTGAAA